TGATGATGATGATGATGATGATGATGATGATGATGATGATGATGATGCGCGCGCGCGCGTGTGTGTGTGTGTGTGTGCGTGTGCGCGTGTTCAGAGCTGCGCCCACATCTGGATATTGGCAAAATGAACGCACACACTGGTTGGAAATCATCTTATTCCGATCTTCTCGTGTCTTCACTCTCGATCTCACCATCCAAAAGTGTTCAAACAACCTCCCGGAGATCTGTGAAGTACAGTGCCTCCTCATTTTCTGAAGCAATGTCATTTCCCCTCCCCAGCACCTGCTCTCACTCCAACCACCTGGATCTGGGACACCCTGGCAGGGCCGCCGCTGGGAGCCTCAGGCCGACGACCTAGCCCTGGAAGGAATGGGATCACACGCCCCAAAGCAGGTGATTGGATCTTCCAAAACACGGGCTCATGCCAAGCCCTTCAAAGCCCATCAAAGCTTCTCAAGCCCATCAAAGCTTCTCAAGATTGGTAGATCACCTTGGAAGACTTGGATTACCTTGGAAGACTTGGATCCCGGATCGTAAAGACGACTTTTTGCCAATGACAGCAAGGACCCTGGACTCAAGCACTGCACAAAAACACTTTCTTTTTTTTGCAAACCCCGAAACTGCTTCATGAATCGCTGGGGTAGAACCAGTCACACCAATCTCCTACATAAGATCACCCCTTTCTTGGTTCAAGCGGAGTGATGAACTCTACTCACCTGATACAATTCAAACAGATTCAGACAAAGAACCAACATGAACCAAACCAAAGCAAGAACAGCTTCATGGACTTCGCGCGATGCAGATGGACGTGCTCGGGTGTTGCATGCCACGCGGCTCCACCCACATCCAAGCTTCCGGCAACCTCGTATGGCCAAAACACATTGTTTATTTTTCCGGAATGATGGCTATAGGCTACAGTATAGGTGCAACCCTGGGCATGGTAGGACATTATTGTAGGAAAGGGTGGTGGATGAGTATGTTAGAAGGTTTGGACCGTGGGCAAACCAAGGTGCTCTGATGTTGACAGCTTTTCTGAAGCAAATGAGGTTGAGGTTGCTAAATCGGGTTCGCTTTGGTTCGCCTGGATGTGTTTTTTTTTCACAAATGTCTGTGGATGGGAGCTCTGACAAGATGTCAAAAAGACTTGTGAAAAACCTTGCGAACAACAACTCAACAAAAAAACTCAAGGAACCACTCAGGAGTATTATGTACGCTACTGCTTCTGTTTGACTTCTGTATGAATGTGCTTCTAATTTGAAGTCTCTTTTTTTAAGAGTACAGACTCAAATCTAACTCAGAAGCAACAAAAACTCAAAAAGTACTCCGGGGTTGATGAGTGGGTTGCTGAGCATTACAGGCATTAGTTAGTTGGGTTCTGCAAGGAACCCTGTATTTTCGCAGATCGAGCTACAACTTCAACATAATCCCCGTGATTACAACCTTAGGCACAGCTAATTACTTTCAAATACGAATGTGTGTTTTTGATGGACAAACTAGTCACCCTGCGAGGTCATCGCCCTGATGCACCTGCCAAAGCAGTCATTTCTTAGATGCCGTCTTCTAGTGTACTTTGCACTTACTCTGTATTCCGAAAAAAAGAAACCCAACAAAAACTACCAAATCATCGTGAATGTGCATGTCTTGTGGATCCTTGTGGATCCTGTCTTGCTTTCCTCATGAATACACGGGACTCAGCTACAGCGACACCTTCACTGGCGACTGCCTTCACGGGACGTGACTGAACCCGGGATTCCACAGACGCTGCATCGCTATGCCATGCCTGGCTGCTCTACTCAAAAGCACGACCGGGTGCATCTCACCCAGTCACGATCCGAGATCTAAACGAACCGGTGTCCTTGATCCACAGCCGCGGTCAGAAGCAGTGCACCCGACCCAAAATGGATTCCTCCCGAGTCGGGAGTGTCATGTTCCGTGAACTCCTGACTCATCACAGTCCGATGTGTCCAGTTGTTCGAGGCCCTCCCCTCCGGCCTGCCATGCTCCGTCCCTTTGCACGAAGAGCACAGGGACATAGTCAAAGCCACAGGCCACCAGCCTGAGGCCAGACTACTCGGTGGGTGTCGACTGAGACGGGGGGGCAGTGTATAGAAGGTATGAACATCATTTTCGCGACATGTGTATAAGATATAGATATGTCAATCAATATAACATATGTCTTTTTGCTTGCACTGAACTAGAACCTAAATTTGAACCTCCGAAGGTTATAGTTATTCTCCACAAACATGACAACAAAGATTCTACACCGAGTTCTCCCAAAGGTTCAGCAAATCAAGTTGGATTATGTCCTCTTCCGCAAAGGATATAGATGATCGCGAACGTCCAATTCTGTGCCGGATGCATGGCAGCCCAGCTATCCCATGTGATTTGCATCTTGCCACCACAAAACACAAACAATTGTGGCCATGTTGGGAGTCTGCTCGTGAACTCGTTGTTATTTTTTTTCAGAGCATGATCTCTCAGACTGGTCCTCTGCCAGTGTCTATGCACCCGTTTGCAAACATGTACATTGTCATATATATTATATAGAGCTTCTCCATGCTTCTCCAAAGCTCTCCCGAGTGAGTCACCACAAACCAAGCAGCAGCAAAAGGGCAAAAGAAACACAACTTCTAACCAAAACAGTGTCATCACAAACAGAGAGAGAGAGAGAGTGTGTGTGTTAGTGTGTTAGTGTGTTGTTTTTTGGTTGCCATGTTAAAAATATGTTTGGTATGAGTTTGCTGTTTCTTTGACCAAACAGTAGATCACCAACAAATGGCCCCTTGTTTTCCCGCCCAGAGCTTCGCGACTTCTCGAGGTCGTCGCTGCGTTCGGCCCACAAAGGCCAATCGAAGGAACGGAAGGCCAAGCCACCTGGCGATGGGGGGACCGTGGTTCCTCCACCGTGGTCCTCGTCGTGAGGAAACCTCCACCCATGGTGTGTTGAACGTGCCCTTTTTCCGCTGAAAGAAGGAAGAGAAGCAGTATGTTGATTCCAACCCCTTAGCAAAGGTTTTTGAGTGTCGTCTGTGCATGCAGCTCTTCGGGCACCATTGGGCGCTCAACCTGTTGTGGAAGAAAAGTTGTGTGCGTGGTCGCTGGCGGCCATCTGCTGTGGCATGGTGGTGTGGCCGTTTTCTCCTGTAATTCTTCACTCGCAAGGCGCATAGTTCGTGAGCTCCTGCAAATATGTTCGATTGATTCACCATATATTATCTTTATTAAAATGTGATGAGAAATTAATAGAAATATGTTCTGTCGACTGTCGAGGTATAGTTGTCATCCTCACTGTTCATGTTGATCCATTTATGACCTTGTAACTACCAGTAGCTGAAAAATAGACACCAACGCATTCCAATGTTGGTGTCGCTAAATAGGTATTATATACAATCATATATATATATGTCATTATGAGTAGACATATGTATATTAATATATATGTATTTTTGTTTGCACCACCAGGACCAACGTTGTTCTTCTTGAGGGTTCTAAAGTGAAAACTCCTTCCCCATAGAATCCTGCAAGTCATTCATTTCACTTGATCCGGTCGAATTTCCTCCCTCCAAAGCCGTTGAACTGTTATAAAGTAAAGAACAGGTGATCATTGCCCACACTGGCCACGCGAAATGGACTTCCTATTTGGACCACGGCTGATCCACACAGATGCTGTAAGACCCGGTAAGAAGAAAAACACGTTCTTCCTCCTGAAGTATGCAGCAGTACTGTCATTTAACATTCAAACACATGTCATGTAATTATTCAAACGGTCTTGGCTGCAGCGTGGTTTGCATCAACACATGCCTGGAACCAAGCCAAAGCGAGGTCAGCCAAGACAAACAGGCTTTCAATGGGCTGTTTGTTCATGTTTGTTCATTGCATGGATCTTTTTCATGCGTTGAATTCCCACCGCATATACGTACATGGACATTCCAAGCTCGAACGGGGGCCAAGCTGCGACTTGTTCTGATGTCTTGACACATCGTCTTATGCAATCTTCCCAGTAAAACACCTGAGCCTCCACTCGTTTGCCTCAAACTCTCGCCACTCCGACCGAAATCACCCGCGCGCGCGTTTTCATGGCCGGCGCCGACGGCCTCACGATCTCGACCGGGGCATCAGCGCCCCCGACCAGTGACTTGAAGCGGACCGTGGCATCTTGGCCTAGAGACGATCGTGGAAGCCCGTCTGTGGGCGCTCAGGCGCTCGCGTCGAGATGAGACGAACATCGGACGCGTTGGGCGTTTGGATTCAGCGGCAAGACCGAAGAGCCAGTTTCACTGGTGAAGAGATGTCTTCAGGAAGAGCGAGTTTCAAACGATAATCAAACAACCTGCAGGAAGCAAATATTCTGCTGGGTTCAGTATGTGTTAACTGAGTTTGACCCGAAAAGATGTGTAGGCTACACCTTCAAAAGGCCGGAGCCGGCTTTTGCATTTTCGCGCGACTTCGACCAACCGGAGAGTGCTTCGGCGTCAGTGCCAGGAGTCTAAGCCTCCCCACAGGTGAAGGCCAAGACGTTGCCATTGCTGAACCTTGTGCCGCACGCGTTGCACATATTTTTCCAGTGACCACCGGTGAAATCATGGGAAACATCGATGCTAAAGGCAGCGTTTAAGTCAAGACTGTGTCTTTGTAATAACACACTCACTGACACATTACACACCTGGACACTGGACACTATGATTGTTTACGTTTACACATTTCATCTCTGAAAGAAGAGTCATACCCAACATGCCTGCACTACTTAGTTGTGTGAAAGAGATTGAAAGAGATGTCTGAATATCTCAAAACATCTCCAAATGGATGGGATTCCATGCTCATAGATGTGCGCAAGGGCAACCGCCTGTCCATTGCTGCTATGAGGAAGCCTAGCTGGAGGAAGCCCTTCTCAGGAATATACCGACCCCCAAATAGATAGAAACGGCAATCCCCACTCACAATGGAAACCGTGCCACTATCTATCTGGGGACCACTATACATGTTCGAATGGATGTCGGACTCGGCCCAAGGTTCTCGGAATGATCCGTTGCCCAGATCGAAGCCGCGAGGAGACGCAACGCCCAGATCGAAGCGTTGGTGGCAAAGCGCCCGTTGGTTCGGCAAACACGCAACAACATGGGTACAGTAGATGATGGTAGATATATGACAGACATGTGATAATTCCATCACAGTCCATCATGTTCCATATCCATTGTGTATAGTGAATACAGATTAATACAGCATGGGCAAAGCTGACATAATCGAAATATCTGCAAGATTCTGCAAGCAAAGTCGCTGGTCTTGCCCCACCCTGTCAAACATAATCTTCAGAATACATGAGGCTTGGGCGCAATGTCGTTGATCCAGGAGCCAGCATCCTCGGTGACCTACTGAGAGTGGGGGTCGTGCGCGGGACCCAAAAGCCTTTACAGGCTTTTTGTTCTTTCTCGTTTTTTTTCTGTTTGTTTTCTCCACCAGAAAGGTCTTTGCACGTGAAGCGTGACAGAGGTTACTCACTCGTCCGATTCTCCGGTGAAGGGGGTCCGGAGAAGACGTTCCAAACAGACCGAAAGAAAAGCGATGTGTTAACACTACATGAATAGCTACAAGATTACAAAGCCAAAAGCAGATCATTTGCACTATATACATTGTTTGTGTCACAACAGGAACCTGACAAGGTGGGCGCCGGGAAATCTGCTCTTGTCCCACAAACAAACCACCACATGCACACATAATGCACCCTGTGATGACACCAGTCGAATGACCTCAAAGTGTACGATTTGTTTGGTGACTCCGTATACGCTGTTTTAAAAAAAAATGTATAGATAGACCAGCTCCCCAATGATTAGGAGTGATTCTCTGCCAAGGATGAGATGGAAAGAGGACATCGGCTGTTGCCAAAACAAAGGTGTGCCCCGAAGCCGAACAACTAGAACTGTCATGAACTGTGTTGTTTTTGCAAATGTCTTATGTCAAAGAAAAGCCGATTGACAAACTCAATGTTTTGCTTCGAAGACGTTGAAGACACACGACATATGTTGAACACCTATAGGATCACCGAAGCCTCTTCTTCGCACCGATTCTTTTCACCGGAACGACCGAGTGAGTGAGTGGCACCCGCCTGCGGAGTGCCAAAGCTCGGCGTCAGGTCACCACTCTCGCTCATCGACACATCATAGACCTGCCCAAACACCGATGTGAAGACTCGTTCATCCTCATGGCAGCCATGTTTTTTTGGGGGCACATGGCAGCACTTCTTTCTTGAGCACCACAAGTCCATGTCTCATGTGTAACAGCACCCTCTACTTGCTTGTTCCTCTATCGGCTTCCTCCAATAGTCGGAGAGCGACGAATAGGTGCTGCTATGAGCATTAGGGAACTTGCAAAAATACAAGCATCTACAGTGTAAGTCAGTGTATATATGTGTATATTGTATATTAATGTATCCACCTACTCGCGGTTTCCGCAAGGAGCGACCACGAACCGAATGCCGAAAGGACATGCCGAACCATGAAAAGGGGAGGATGAAGCTGGAAACCATGAAAACACGCTTGTTGAACATCCCAAGAAAAACCTGAACAATACCAGAACGACCTGACCTGTTCGACCATGTTCGACCTCCCAGGTCAGTGACGATCCGGCCCTTCGCCCTTCGCGGCCGCGGCCGCGGATGTCCCGGGTCTGTCGGTCGGGACCCCGTGCCACGCAGTAGCGGTCCGTCGATCCGGTGGCCAAGAACCTCGGATTTGGGGGCCGAGCTGGAGCGAGGCGAGTGAGTCGCGCGGGTCACGCGGAGGTGCGGTGTGTCGCCGGTGAGGTGATGGAGACCAAGCTGGAGCGAGCTCGATCTGACCCCTTTTAGGCACGGAGAATCTCTGAGAAGGGCGGATCTTCGCTAGATGGCATGGGCGGATCTTCCAGGCTTGGACAAGATTGAATCTGTCATGCTCATCCCAGGTGGATCTTTTTGAGGCTTCATCTCGGAGGGAAGGATGCGATGGCTCGTCCCCACTGCTTCATCCAAGAAAAAACAAATTGACGAGAAGCTTCTCAATAGAGAACTTCTCTGTACCCCCCCTTGCGCCTAGAGCAACATCGTTGACTTCAAGTTATTCACACAACTCACACCATAACAGAAAAGGAGGGCACTGCACCTTTCTTGGCGAACTCCGGCTCCACCCTTCAGGCGGGTCACTGTGAGGATGAATGCCAGGCCAACGACTGGGCAGCAAATGCATCGGAACATCGCAACGACTGTCGTGGAACAAACTTAAGAGACCCTGTTGCACAATGGATTATGGATCAAGTAGGGTCAATGGCAACGTGATACTACAACTGGGTTGCTAGTCTGATGAACCAACATTTGAAGCAATTGAGGTGGTTCTTGATTAGTGATATGCAGCTCTTAAACCGAACCCACTGTTGTGTGTAGGGAACAATGCTTTGTCAACAAAACACCATCTCTTGGGCAAATAGTTATATTAAAATATTTCATTGGAGAGAGCCTGTGTTCAAAATGTTAAAAAACAAATGCAAAAAAGTCAACTTCAACTTAGTAGTCAGTCCCAAAAGTCAAAGTCAAAAGACAAGTCAAATCAGAAAGTTTCAGAAAGTCAAAAAACACAAGTCAATTGGCCCAGATACGACTTGTTGTTGACATTTTTGTTTGACTGTTTTGACTTTTTGTTGACCTCTTTGTTGTATTTCTCAAGGTGTATCCTTATAGAAACCAACATTGGCTTTCCTCATGGGGAGTATATGTCCTTCCCCTTTGTAACTCAAAAAAACACCTCTCAGTCCCCCTGCCGTTGCCGCACGTTCCTGCGCCGCCCAGTCTGCGGCCAAAGCGGCCGTGATGGCAGCTTTGGATTTCCCCACTTTCATGGCGACCCAGCAATTCACCTGCCGTCGACACGCGCAGAGAACACCCGCGTGTCTCCAACGCGCGGCTTGCTCTTGCTTTCTCCATCGGCTCTGCGGCCCCTGTCTGGGTTGAAACCAGCTTCCTTTTTAAATATTACCTGCCTGCAGTATGGGGTAACCTAGGCAATGTGTAGTGAGTAGTACGTGTAGCACAAGTAGATCTAACATGAATCAACAAGTGGCGGAAGAACGCATCAATCTGCCTGTGGATTTGGCTCAGAAGCGTTGTGAAGAAGAGACATGTTGCAGCTCAAGTAGAATTAACAAGTGGGGGGGAAGAACGCATCAATCTGTCTGTGGATTTGGCTTAGAAGCTCTGCAAAGAAAAGACATGTGGCAGCTCCATACAGTACCATTTTACATTGACAATTCTGCTGGCTTCTGCCAACAATCATCCAAACAGGATCAAACAGGTCTCAACAAGGTTCCGTAAGAATGATGTGTGAGCTTTCTGTCTCAGTTCCTGGCTAGAACGTGTCTCAACACTGGCAGCAATTTTAGCTTATCCTCAAATTCTATATCTACTCAAACTTCGTAGCTTTCATGGACAAGTTCCCTCACGCTGTTTCTGGATGATTGGGGTTTATGCATACTGCGCATTCTCTTCACCCTTCGATGCAGGGTACAATGACCTGCTCGGCGTTCTCACGCAAGTGAAGAGTTTATGCTGTTGGTTCTTGGGTTGGGATTTCATTGGCCCCGCACACCACCCCTACTGGTAGATGATCGTCTCAATGTGGCACCCACAATCATGAGGAAAACAATCAGACAGAGAGCCTCCAGCACAACCACATACCCCTTCTTTGTAGAATGGTTTGCAAGGCCTGTTGATGTACGGAGGTTTGAGGTGCTTGGTCTCTACATGCAGCAATATGAGCCTCTTCTTTCCAGTAGCACAGGGCCGTATCTTTGGAGGATAGGCCTCACTCGCGGGCAAAGACTACATTTATACACAGGAAACCGAGAAAAATGATCTCCAAGATTCGTGTTTGCACATCCTTCCTATGGGCATGCAATAGAATACGGAGACCCTCAGAGATCACTGGTAAGGGAAACAAAATAAACTCAAACCTATTGGTTTGGCGGTCTGACTATAAAAGTACCTACAGACCTATAAATGTTGCTCTCGTTTACCACTGGCGCTACTACAGAAAGGGAATCGCACCTAGAAATTGCGTTCCACTCTGAAAAAGTCTCCCATGGAAAGGCACCCTTTGTGGCACAACACCCAGTGTTTTTGGGAGGCTTCAATGGGGTCAGCGCTAACAAAGAAAGGACTGTCAAATCCTAAAGTCGGTTCCAGCTGCGGCGCCTCCGAACGCCGTTCCCGGTGCACGGACTGTGACGACTAGAGCTCGCACTTTTTTGTTATTCTCATAGAGTGTACCATGACTAATCTATGAGAAGTGGTATGAAGTGGTCATAGTGGTAACTTGGTATGCAGAAGTTTCCACTGGTAGAAGTTCGTTAGAAGGGTGTGAAGTTTGAGACAGTTGGTGTTTTCACCCGGTCCAACTCCCCGCTTTTTTGGGTCGCCACGCCCACGGCGAAGAGCTCGCCGTTCGGAGACCAGGCGGCGCACAGCGCAGCACCTCGGGTCAGCACAGCTGGAAACCAGTGTCAGTCAACACACAGCTTGCATCGGCAAAGCATGTCTGATGTTGGTGGCTGAATTATAGGAAGAACAAACTACACATCAATACACATCAGTACTATTCAGTACATCAGTCATAGTCACTCATGCGACTTGCTTGTCCGACTTGCTTGTTTGTCCATGTTTGCTGCAAAAGCGCGTCGAGCTTGCATGCATGCTAGTTGTATCTAGTTGTGGCGCCATGGTAAGAAAACACATTGATCGATCTCCAGTGGTCTTCATTTGTCAACGACGATTAAACATACTGCAGAATAGTAAGACCATCCTAAACATACCATGTTAAACATGTTTGCGGTTTAAACGCAAGAATGCTGATTCAACGACCCATCCCAGAATCCCAACCGCAAACATGCCTTCTATAATCTTCTATATGTTAATAATCTTTAATCTAAAATTCTGGCAGCCACAACCTGCAACCACGTACCGTCGCACGTACCAGGACGTTCGAGTCAAAAGAACAGTAGTCAAAAAGTTGCCTCGCCAAACACACCCAAACTGGTGTGCTTCCACCCAAACAGAAAAAGTAACTGTGTTGCAGCTTGGTTCTCGGGGTGGCTCTACAATCTCCAACCGCCACTATACATTTAAGCTACGAATCTTCTTGGGTCGCCAACGCTGCTCTTGGGCCCAAATTGGTGACCCGGGCCGACCGGTTCGCTGAGAATTCGGGCGACGGCGAGATGTCCTCAGTCTGGTGACCCGGTTTCAACCAACAAAGACCACCCGGATCGCCACTCCCGCAAAAACCGCCCGCGAATCGATTTCTCGAGGTGTTTGTTCATCCATCATGTAGACCACGAACCCAACGAAGAACAAAAGGACACAGCATACTAGACCCCACCTTTTGGACCCTCGAGCAGCCTACTAGACCCCCAAAACGAACATGAATAGACCTTCAAGTGGTGTCTGTTTTTTCCTTTGGCCCTCCTCTCAGTTCCCGGACGCTGAGCCTTCAACTCGACATTGGAAGACCTGCCGATGTGAGGTCAGAAACCGATTCCTTGTCTCATTTCCCCATCGAAACCGTCCAGTCTATCGTTGGTGGAACGTGCCGGCCCATTCCGCAGTCCAGTCTATCTGTCTATCCATGATCTATTCCAAACTAAACCATATCCACAAGGAGGTGCCCTAATTTGATCTGTTATCAGGTGTGTTCCTGTGTGTTTTCAACATCAATTGAGACTAATGGTGCCGAACAATGAGGCAACCGTGGCCAAACAGAATTGGGTAAAAGGTAACACAACATCAAACAAACACATGGATATTCACACCGTCTTTGTGACCACAATTCCTACAAGTATGTAACAAAGGTCCTATATATATATTGTACATGACACATGACATATATATATGAACATATTTGTCATTTGCGGTCAACTCACCGAACACCGTACCATAGAGACACGCCCATCCGCCTCCATGTCCCGTCGCTCGTTCCTCGTTCCCACACAAAGGCAGTTCGGTCCTCGTTCGGGGCGCCAGGTCGGAATTAGGAATCGTGTTGGGTGTTTATGATAAAATCAGGGCTGCCAGAGCCTCAGGGGGTGTCCCGTGTCGGCCTCAACGCGTTGCTTGGTATTGTGTGTTCATGGCTGATGCTTTGAAGAAATGCCAGCACCATTGGACAAAAAACAACTCAAATGTCCCAAGTCACTGGTCAAAGAATTCACCTTGTAACAACAATCCGGGACATGAAGGTCCACATCTCGTTGAGCGTCATTGAACAAAACTTTGGAGGCCAACCACCAACACCTGCGCGCATCATGTCAGCCAATGAACTTCAAACATACCTCCGAGCAACCGAGGGCAGATTCTCAAGAAGAACAGGTTTTGCGGTGTGGCGTTCACAAATAACCACTATATAATATTCAATTGGGTTGATGCGAACAGAAGGTAAGAGGATCCAAAAGAAACATTACCTGGATCTAAACACAGCCCGGGGATCAACAGTGTATATGTAATTATATATTATATTTATTACTTAAATTCAAGACAAATCAACCAATATTCCTTACCAATATGGTTGAAAAAAGTGCAGCGGCCTAAAACTTGTCCACAAAGACCTCCCCCAGCAGCATGAAAAAAGAGGCGGTCCATGGAAGAACAATGCTTTCTGGCAGAACCAGCACACCTGTCGCTATCCTTAGACAGGTCACGATCGTTTTAAGTCTGAAGTCTCCAGCCACCACCACGTAGCCAATACGATCGTAGTGTGCTGCGCGCGACAGTCGCGCAGTTCATGATCACTACTACGTAAGTTTCTACATACACCTTAAGGCTTTGCCGCCTGCACCGACAAAGAACTGACTGGCACGGTTCTAGTATGCCAATTCATTGATTTCATGAGGCCAGGAAATAGGAATACCGGCGCAGCGCACTGACAGAAGTGCAAGAGAAAATAACACAAGCCTCATGTGTTAAAATGGGCTCCATGGTTGAAAACAGGTCCTTGGGCTTCTCAAAATACGAAGAGCTGGAACCAAATAACATTTGGTTCTTGGGATTGAGGGTTGTATTGACATACTTTGAAATAAACACATACCCTTTCTTCAATCCAGAATCAACAGGTCTGCCTTTTTCCTTTTTTTTCCGTTCCTTCCTTTTGTCCTTTCCTTTTCTGTTCTGCCTTTCGGTTCCCTTCCCTTCCCTTCTTTTCCTTTCCTTTCCTTTACTAATTGTATTTGGCTGTGACACGTATTTTGATACTGATACTATGTGTTCGATATGTTGATACCCATGCCGCCCATGCCAGGAAAAAACATCATGCAAACGCCATCACAGGTCTACGCACGAACACATGCCATGCAGGTAGGGTATCAGAAATTAAGAGGTTGCCAGAGGCGCACACGTTTTGGGTCCCACACAGCTGTGAGGTTTGGGTCTTCCCCGAGACAAACCCCGCCGGTCCTCCGAGACAGAGAGCAAGCGCCCGAAACAGGACCAATCCAATCCTGCTCAGCAGCAAACTTCGCGCCACGTCCGGAGCAAACATGCAGTGGTGTTTGCTGAAAATAACAACTCCTAAACACTTTTGGACATGAGAAGTGCTGTGGATACTACACTCTTCGTACCTCCTGCACGCTATCACTATTCCAGCGCCAAGGACATGCAGCAAATCTCACAGCACGAAGAACAATCCAAGGGTGACCAGCCACCACACTGACACTGAAGTTGTTTGTTTCCAAGTGGTCAAACATCCACTTGGCGGGCGAACCAGTGACTGGCAGCACCGCCCTACCAACGCGCATGGAGGATGACAAGTGTGGACAAAAGGAAACGATGTCGCTTTGATGATAAACCGTTTCTGCCCGTTTCTGCCACAGAAGATCAAGGTCAACTGGTTCTGCACCTTCTCTGACTCTTCATCTGTTTGTGTATGAAGATAAAAGGAGGGAGACCTCCCAGTTCGACCCCCGGGGGTCTAAGGGAAATAGACCGAAACCCGTTGGGGTCCCCTATTCCAATACACACCCATAGAGAATAGGGAACTCCGACGGTGGATCATTCTGCTGGAAAACAACTGCTGCCCTGTGAAGGGAGGTCCGAACAAACACCAGGATCCGAACCCATGAAACTGGAGTCCACAAGGATCCTTGTTCCTAGTAGCACTTGTTACATAGTAGTACGGCCAGGAGCCCCTAGTAGCGTCCTTGTTCCTAGTAGCGATGCCAGGAGCCCCTAAGTGGTTTCTTGTTACTAGTGGGCCTTATACCAACCTATTTTCCCAAAAGCATGGCCGTGGTTTCTCAGGTCCCAATTCGGCCTGTGACTCGCTGCGAGTGCTTGGTAAGCACATCACTTCGCTGGTACTGGCCAAAGTGAGCGTTGGAGGATCAGGGACACATACAAGCAAAGTCAGGGTTATGAGAAACATGTGTGTGGCCAATCCGTGCATAAACCATCAAACCAATGGGATACCCAAATGAAGGTCCATGTATAATACCAGTATGAATGACATACGGTGTATATAACTAGTACGAAACCTGGATCCCCAGCGACCATTATGTTAAAGATGTTTAAAGGAGCCTTGGTTCACAAAGACAGGCGGAGACTCGACATATCACATGAGGAAGGTTAGGTGTTAAATGTTGGAAGCCTTTAACGACCTCTGAAATATTGCAATAGTGTGAAATAGTGTCAAATAGTGTGGTTTAATGTATAAATACTATTCATTGGAAATAGTGAACATGTCGTTAGTCCACCCTCGTCACCCAAAAAGCGAAGGACACTGAGCGGTCAAAGGAAGCTGCTACTTTTTCAGGCGCGAGTTGTTGTCTTCCTAATCGTCCACCACGTCTGAGCCCAAGAGCTCCGTCAGCGAAGGTTTATCCTCCTTCTTCTCTTCCTTCTTCTCTTCGGCTTTCTCATCGGCATTCTGACGTCCACTCTTGGCCGCTTTTTGGCATCTGTCTTTGTCCACATCCTTTGTCTCCCCCAAGCGCTTGAACTCCAGACGGAGCTTTTTGGCCAGCACTTTGAGCACGACACCTTCTTGGTTGTCGAACTCTGCCTTTCTTTTGCCAGGGAGAACAATGGCAACGTCTCCTTCCTTCCAATCAGTCACTGCCGCAGGCGGGGCTGCCTGATGAGGTTCTTTGTGGCCACCCTTCTCTGCGGCACGACCGGCACCCAAAGCTTCTTCCTTCGCCTTGTCAGCTCTGCTCTTCCAACCATCCATGCACGGCTGCAATTTCGCATGCTCGACTAAAGGAGTACTGTAGTTGCTTGGCAGATAGTTCTTTGATTTGCTTCACAAAGGCATCCCGGATGTTACCAACCTTCGGGTGGCTGATCACTTGCTCCCCGCCCAGTGCATGTTCATTGAGCAAAGTTGCCAAATTTCTCGAAGGTAGCGTTGGATCTGCCAGCATCACCCGTAATATCGCAGAGGGAGAGCATACCATACTTGTCTTTTGTTCCCTTTATGTCCCGCTTTTCTTTCAACAATCTGCTCAACTTTTTCTTGTTGTATTTCAAAGAGCTCTCCAATTGAGCCCTAGTTGTTTTCTTCACCTGTCGGGTTCTGGAATGGGCCGGTTCTTCTCGCACATCAAAATGAGCTTCTAAAGAAGCCACCAAATTCTCTACATTGGAAATTACGCTGGTATGATCTTCTGATGTCAGTGTTGCCTTAAATTGCACCAAGTGGCGATGAAGACTTTTGGCTTCATCGTTGCCCTCCATACATCACACTCTAAGAAAAAACTTCAACATGCAATGGTGCCATGCAATGCCTCATTTCACACCCCAATGTTCACATCACCGAACATGGGAAGCAAGAGAGCTGCGCCCAAATCGCCGGAGCGACCTCCGACGAAGAAGCAACGGCAAACGGCAGAGGCAGGATGGAAGAGCACTGAGCCCGAACAGAAGAAGGGCGAAGACGTGCACAGCCCAAAAGACTCCAAGCAAACGCCCGGCCAGGCAGCAGAACGTCAGCATCCAGACCCACGCACCACTCCGACCGTTCCGCACGCAAGGGGGAGCGTTGGGTCCGGGCTGAAACCAGTGGTGGAGCTCAAGGAACCCCCGACCAAGTACGGGAGCTGGTTCAGCACCGTTGGGCAGACGTCCACCAAGCCAAGGGCTCTCATCGTCTTCTCCGGAAGATCCCGAGAGGGTGACCTGGCTCATCAGCTCGCCCGCCTTGGCTGGTTAGTTTGCTGCCTCGACACGGTGATGCCAAGGCCGACCAACCTGCTCGATGACAAGGTCTGGGACCTCCTCAAGGACGACATCGACAAAGGTATGTTTGAGGCCGCCTGGATAGCCACACCCTGTGGCACTTTCTCCCCGCTGAGAGAGAAACCACCCGGACCTCGTGTACTCAGGACGGTCGAGCACATCACCGGAGTCGCCAACACCACTAAGGCCGAAGCCGCCCAGTTGAGGGATGCCAACATACTGGTCCACAGATCCTACAACGCATGCATCAGCAGAAGAAACCCTGGGGACTGGAGAACCCAGACCATCCGCAGGGCAAACCATCCTTGTGGCTCATGCCGAGGATCAAGGACATCCCAAACTGGGCCGGTGTGGATGAGACCCTGTTTGACCAGTGCGTCACGGGTCTAGACCACCAAGCCAACGAGGTTGCTGACCCACAGGCTCGATATCTCCAGGCTGCAGGGCAAGAGATGCTTCCAAGACCAGACGGCACCAAGATACAAGCAGCACACATGTCCACGGTGCAAAGAACCGAAAACGTGGACGGCAAGACACAGTGGGCCTCCAAAGCACAGGGGGAATACACCACTTTGTTCAGCAAAGTATTGGCGGTGGCAATCCACAAGACGGCCAGGACAGACTGGAAGAAAGAAGAGCTCCAAAGCGAGCCCCTCTGAAACCTCCCAGTTGTGACAGACGCCACTTCCCTGCACGAGCCAACCGACAGGGAAAGGCAAAACATGTTGGCAATTGGAATTGGAGGTATGAGGAATCCACACGTCGCAATCGGGCGCATCCCAAAGCTGGCTGAGACTGGGGCCCTGATGTCCCTGGGTGATATTGTAGAAACCATTGCATTTTGTTGTCAAGATATGTTTTTCCGTCTTCGTGGGATTGCCATATGCACCTATTGCAGTGCACATTGAGCCACGCAATGAATGTCGGCCATCTCAATAATATACCACAAGAATCAAACATCAACACAAAACCTTCTGAAAAGAGAAACCGCATGAGCAAAAAAGGGTTCCAAGAATTTACACCTAAGGAAGGAGTTGCTGTCATAAGCAAGAAACAAGTGAGTTGTCACATGAAATCCTGAAACGAGGCAATTGGCGAATGGAGACTGACCCTCAAGACAAATACATCCGACCTTCAAACCTTTGTCAGACTCAACAAAAATCACCAACTATGGGAACCCTTCAGGACTTCACTTCTTTGCTTTTTCGGGCCTGCCGAGGTTGTGTGTAAGTCAAATGCAGGAAAGGTGCCGGGACGTCGTTGAAAATTCATGAAAGTGCAGCTCATTCCATTTCCGTGTTCTTCCTTCCTTCCTTCCTTCCTTCCTTCCTCCAGATCGTTGTCACTGTAGGTACCACGGACCTGGATGTCACAGCGAGGGCCAGCAAGAGCTGGGCACACGAGCCGAGCCTGAACACTACAGGGAGCTCCAGCAGACCCTCTGGCACACATGAGCCTGAACATTGGAAGCTCCAGCACGGTCTGAACCTGGACATACTCCACTTGAAATGATACCAGAATATGTGGCAGAAATGATGTCAGGCAAAGTGTCAGGGAGATGATGGCCAGATAGATGCTGGTCCCAGAGTGTCAACTGCAAATTGACATCCACGCTTCGGACGAAAAAGGATGAACAAGGCGGATGCTGCTGTCACCATGTTAACATGAGATAGCTGCTAGCCTCTTGTTGTTGGGATGTAGTGCAATTGTCTGAAATGTCACGGTGGGGATCACTCCTGACCTTCAACAAAACGTTGACAGGGTTAAAACAATCAAGACAAGGTCCTGAAGTAGTTCCGAAAATTGTGAAAGTCTGATGTTCGATTTGTGTTGAACGTGGCGCGGGTTTGTGATCAGGATTTCATGGCAAGCTACTATACCAACATTCCCTCAGGAAACAGAAGATACCTATGCATAAAGCACTGCAAATACCTGCAAATGACCCTTCTTACCAGTGTGTCTTCCTGAGTTTGTTTGAAGCGGTTCACCAGTTCCTACCCATTTGCCTGCGTGGGACATGAAAGAAACGCCGAAACCATCGGACAACAGGATGGTTTATCTTGGGCATATCATATCCCAGGACAAGCAACAGTGGATGATGGTATGTAAACGCATGTTTGAAACATAATGATCGTTTTGTTCACAAACTGTTACTGGACATATTTTGATTTTTTCTCCCCCCAGCTCTTGCCAAATAGTATTTCATTGATGTTTCATTGCGATGTGGTTGTTTTCCGTCTGATTCTTGGTAGGTCTTCACTGGGAGTTCCTTATCTTTTGTGTGTCTTGCGCTGATTCTAAACCAACATCTATGGAAATCCTCTCTGAAATCCTGCTTTGATTTACTAGAGGCAAAACCAAAAACACATGAAACCACCAAACCCCTCAAAAAACTCTACAATGTGTTCAGACTAAATAAATCCATAATAAAGCTATGTTGGAGAGTGGCGTTGTTCTTTAAAACAAAAACAAACACTTTAAAATTTCAGTTTTGTGAATGCTGCTCTTCGCTAAGTGTACATCAACTATATATACATATACATTTTACATATCAACCGCCAACGACCTTCGGGAGGTCCTGACAACTACCTTTCGGAGTCCATCAAACCTCCGAAAGAGACAGCCGTTGAACACTTCCATGTACAAATCAGAAAGTATCCAAGCACATCAGCCATTGCATTCGATTATTGATTATTGCAAGCTTCTGATCATTGGGTTCCATGATGATACAGCCTTCAACTGAAAATAAAGACAAACCGACAAACCCACTTGATGCGCAGTGACCACAGTTCAGCTCGTAATTTGGGAGATGGGCCCGATTCCAACCAGTGGCCGTCTCAAGATAGTGCCATCATGCGGCACCCCAAGCCATCAGGGGGGGTGCACATATAAACCACCCAACTCATCAAAACACACCAACCCACCCGTCAAGACAAGACACACCCATCATTCCCAACACGCATCAAGACACGCCACGGTGTCCGTCCTTCTCCGAAAGCAACTGAAACATGTCGATCTCCTCACAGTTGGGACCTGAGCAAAACGGACCAATAATAGAAGATCCTCAAGGGTCACATGAAAAGGTTACATTTCTTCAAAACGGTTTCTCTACCATTCTGGGGCGGATTTAGAACCATGAAAAGAACCGAAGGAACAAGCGAGTTTGCGCCTAAGTACAGGGAGGTCCAAAGCACCGCACGGAAGGTCAAGGAATGTTTGTCTATTTCAGCTCTCATCAGCTCTGTTGTTTTTGATATACTTCCGGAATACATACCCTCCAGTGCAGCTGCTGTGAGAAGCTCCATCCAGTCTTGTGATGTGGCATTGGGGGAACAATGGAAAAATATCTGTGCCGAGCTGGGGGCTCTCGTAGAGGTCAGACATGGTGTCCGGTGTGTCTCAAAACGCGGCGAACCCCACGCGAGGGCCCTCAACGAGTCTCCCTCTCTCTCTCTCTGTTTGATACCTGGAATGGTGAACGTATGTGAACCTTAGGGTTTCAAAACCCTAACCCTAAAAACCTTAGGGTTTCAAATCCCTGGCTTTGAACGTACCCCTCAAAGAGTCACCACTTGATGTCGCCCCCTCCGAGCGGCACAGCGCCAAGAACTGTTCGTCGTGCGAGATGGCCTCGGAAGAGGGGAAGGTGTGCCGTTCACATCTGTTCAGACCTGGGGGTGAGGGTAGGCCGCTACTAGAGGTGAGGTAGGTAGGTAGGTAGGTCGGTCGGTGGGTCGGTCGGTCAGGTAGTTGGGTAGGTTAGGTTAGGTAGGTTAGGTTAGGTAGGGTAGGCAGGTAGTAGTAGCTAGGTAGCTAGTACCTTACTGAAGCTGCTACTATGGACGCAGGATAGCTCACGCTAATGCTTTGGTTCCTAGATGTTTAGGGAAACTTAACCTTTCTTAGCCAGGGTGGCCTGTGGATTCAGTTTGTTGTACCTTGTCTTTAACTCATGAAGGCAACTCAATGACGAAAGCATCTCAATCTTCTACGAAGTTACTTCAAATAGATTCTGTGAGGTTACCTAACTGACCCCCTTTTTGAAGAGAATTCTTGATCTTCCGACTGAAAGAACATGTGCAACACCGAACGCATCTGCGCGAGTTCGCGAACGGCCCAAAGTGGCTGTCTGAAGCGGCCCCAGAGACATTCTCTCTCGAAGCCAACGCACTTACCAAATTGGGCCCACCAAAAAGACAACGGCCTTTCAAGCCCACCCAAAATGGCCTCCCCATTTTTTGGGGCTCCTGCATGGCAGTTGATGACTTCAATGTCTGGTTCCTGTACATGTCGAGAGACAATCTCCATAAAGACTGGGGGCATCGGGGTGAGTCTTCCAGGATTGTTCAAGCTACAATCTGAAAAGGCTCTGACAAGGCTCTGAACCGATCTTTCCCAAAGTCTGCCAGCTGTACATGTCGAGACTCCATCTATGCCTCCCCAACTCCACCCCAAAGAACTTGTATATGAGTCCGGGCAAGAATCATGTACGCCGGTTGTACTAACATTGTAATTTCTATGTTGAAAATGTTCTAAGGCAGCCTGCTGCTTGAATTGTAGGGTGATGACATTCTTCCATAATGTTACTACAACCGATCAGAGATCCCGCATCGTAGATTAAATCCTGATTGCTTGATCTCCTTGATTGGATAATGTCTGATCCCGAAGTAAGATCTATCTAGCTGGCCATAGCTGGTCATTTCTTTGAAGGTGGACCACGCGTGGGAGCACCAATCCACTAGTGGTGGCTTCCAATCCAAGCCAAATAAGAGACACGTCGGTGACTATTCGGGATTAAGGGATCAGAATGCAAACCCACCTGAACCCACAGATGTACATCTAAGATATGCACATGTGTTGCGCATGCGTACCTCCACATCACATTTCATTGGAATACGCTCTGTCCACACGAACCAGCAATCCTATGTGCTGACCGTCCTTTGCACCTGACCGTCCAACGCCGCTGCCCGGGTCCGGACCGACGTCCGTCCGCCTCCAATCGTCGGACCAAGCTCGCTTGCATCGGCCCTGGAGACGGTGAACGCTTCGACGCGGTGAACGCTTCGGTGGTGCGACTGACTCGAAGGAAGGTGGGACCGGTGAAGGGAGGCGTTGAACGGTGACGGAGACGTTCGGGGAGATGTGACCGGATACAGGGTCAAGTTGAGACGGTTGTAGGGTGTGGGTGAGAGTGGGGTCCTGAGTCAAGTGTTTTTCAAGTGTCTTGGTTTCAGTGTTACTAAGAGAAATAGGTCAGCGCAACCCTTTGCGCTGACGCGGTTCGTGCACAAAGGAGTGGGTTGCGCTGGGAAAGCGCAAAAAGGCCGTCAAAACCCAGCACAGTGTCGCTCACACTCTCTCAGCCGAGCCGGTCGATGGACCTCTTGAACACTCACACGCCACGCGCGAGAAAAGAACTCTCGCAAGAAGATGGGAAAACCACGCATGGTTTTCCAAACACAAACAATGCTCCCAAACATCCCCAAAAGCACGGCAACTTTCAACGACCACATTGGCACCTAGTCAAAAGACAAAAACATCGGATCCTCCCTACCAAAGTTACTCAAGTAGCCTCCAACAGGTGGTCGGATCGGCTGTGCCAGGTGGGTGTCTGTTCTGCCAACCCTTGAGCCACAAATCCCTTCCAAGGCTTCTGGGCCCCAAACACCAAGGCTTCTGTGCCCCCACTCGGTATCTGTTTCATTGGACCTGTGGAAAGCCTTGTTGCGCTCCCAACATCCAAACACCCTGGCTACCTTCTGGCTCAGCATGATTCACCTTTTCACAGTGTGTCCTGACGTTTTTCCATTGTTGAACCTTGAACATGGATGGCCTGAAGACCTTGGATTGCCCGTTCACCCATCTGGTGTGTGCCCTTCACACTGAATGCCAGCGTGTTACTAGAGGTGTTTCTTTTTGCCATGCCGATGTGCCGATGTGCCAGCCGGGGGTTCATCTATTACATTCTATTATTACCCTGTGCAAGTTCTTTGGCCTGAGAGTGGAGACAAGCATCCTTCTCGCCTCCACCACGTCAGGATCGCCGAGTTCAAAGCTCTAGAAACAGCTGGGTGAGTTCTTCTGGTGTGATCCGATAGGGGGTCTCTGCCCGCGAAATGTTGCTTCCTCTCAGCTAACCAGCAATAGCATAACATTTGTGCAAACAAACAAGTACTCCAAAGACTTCTTATAGTCACCCACTGAATCCATGTTCACAAAATTTCACAAAAGCAACTGATTTCATAAAGCAGTGACTCTGCGGACTGTTTGTCGAGGCTTGATCCAGCCTGATCTCTGTTGCTTGCCTGCCTGAATCCTCTCGAGTCGGTCGGAGACTATCGCTGAACTCAATGAGAAGGTTCTTGAGTTCTACGACTTGACTCAAATGGGTGAAAACATGCTAAGTGAAGTGATACAAACAAACCAGGATGGAACTTGCTTGAGCCACAGCACAAGGAAGCGCGAGACTCACATGATCAAAAGGTCAAAAGGGCAAAAGGCATTATTCCGCGGCTATGGCATCAAATTTGTGAGGTCCCTATCGTTTTGCTTTCTTGGGGTTACAGTAGTAGCATGTAGTAACTATCTATATATTATATTATAGTTTGGCAATGTGTGGGAGATCTTGATATCGGTAAACATCTTGGTGACCAAAAAGAACAGCCATTTCCGAGTCTCCATTGCCACTTTTCCGAGGGTTCCGAGGGTTCCGGAGGCAGTATAGGAATGCCACCAGACCGATGTTGCGGTGGTTGGGATTGGTGGTTGGGATTCGCTGGCAAACCGTGACCAATCCTGGGAGGGTCCTGTCCCAAAAGCAGCGAATGTTTTGGAACACTGTTAGGGAGTAATCACTATGCATCACTGATTTGTGAGTCTCCCATCGTTTGCTAAGGGCAGCCACAAGGCCCTCCCAGCATATGAATGCCAGGCTCTCATGCAAGTGTAATCATTGCACATGTTCAAGGCACTTCAAATGAACGTAGCCAGCAAAGATGTTGATTAGTAGGCAAACAAATCCACAGTATCGCCCGGCGCTACCAGTGACAAGCCGGGCTACTTTGCAACGAATCCGGCACAATCAGTGCTTTTTAGCTGGAATCGACTCGTCAATGGGAATCTTGCACCTAAGTCACAGGTCAACCTCACCCAAGCGGTTTCAGCGACAACCCAGTTTTACCCGCTCAAATGAGCTATAATATTGTACATACATATACAGTTACATGTATGTTTTATATGTTTTTTTGTTTTTGTGAAGGGGGCAGTCCTTAAATTGTTGTTGGCATGCTATAGTTGCTTGCTCCCTTGCTTCAAGGGCTGGGATTGCTCCCACTCAGTCCTGTCAGCGCTGGAAGGCTCAGTCTCTTTTGGGCCAAGTCATGTCCCCTCGCTGTCAGATGACGAAGAGGAGCCTCTCCGGACGACAAAGCAGGTGAAGAAAAAATAGGAATGATGTTCAGGCGCCGTCTGAACCCTTGGTGTGATGCAATGCAATATGATGGGTCGGCAATTTTCTTCCGCATACTATTCTGGATTTTCTCTCCAAAAACAATGAGTCTGCAGTGCAGTTGTCTACAAATGTCTGGCAAAAAGACACGGGACTCCAAGAGAGGTCGGCGTCCGTATGCCCCATCATGACTGACCAGGCAGGCAAGATCATGAGTGGAAGAAAATCGGCGAGTTTGAGGCTGGCAAATGCTCCCAGATTTCTGAACCCCGCAAGATATGAAAACAAACAAGAAATCTCTTCCCGCTGCCTGTGATGTTCAGCCACTTCGCCACGGAATGGATGGATCATGATGGAGATATCGTCGCATTCTGTTTAGAATAGACCAGATCGGTTCCGATGGCGACAGAAGGCTCTGGACAATGGTCTATAGGCTCTGGAGATCTATCCAGGCTCTGGAGGTCTATCGGTACTTTAGACTAGATCGGAAGATGGAGCATCTTTGTCTCCAGTACCCAAAGTCCCTTTGGTCTCCGAGTCCTGCAGCGTCCCTGGAGAGATTCCTCGAACCCTGCACGACTCGGCCTGCACTCTTGGCCTGGCGGGAAGCGATGTCAAAGAAAGGGACAACACGAGGACTTATATAACTATTTTTGATGGTCCTTTAAGCCGAGCTGAGAATTCAAAAAACAGATCTTTGAAAATCCTGCTTGCTAGTGGAAAACAGCCAAGAATATATCGCTGAAGTAGTAATGTCATCATAGCTCTTGGAGTCGCCCGCACTCTTCGGCACACCGACACGTCTGCTGGACAAACTTGAAATAGCACACATGTCGGCTTAAAATTTTCGGCGCTGCGTCCAGCAGTAATTAGGCCTTTGGGGGAAATGGAGGCGTGCTCAACCGAGACTTGGCAATCCATCTATATACTTCCTGAGTACCTCATGTGACTTGAATGGGCCTTGTGCCTGCCACAAATGCCATCGAGTTGTAATGCTTTGCTGTCTGCCGTTGCAAATGCCCACATAGCAGGGACTGCCTGAAGCTAAACCCAAACCTTGAGACAGCCAACCTATATAGGACCTATATGACCTTCAACAATATTGAAAGGAGTGGAGCTCAGTTTTACTTCAACATGCGAGTATTACAGGCACCGCACCGCACAATGAAGAGAATGCGCAAAGAAAAGCCTCCACTGCAAAGGCATCCGCTGAATTGGGCAATAGGCCGCGTCCCGCAGCCTTCTGACGCTCCTCGTTGCGTTCTTCCAGGGCTCTCTTCTTCGCCTTGCTCGAGCACCCGTGTTTCCGGAGTCATACTGTGGAACAAACAGGATGGATGATGAGGTCTTCATACACTGTGTGTGTGTGCGTGTGATATGCTGGGAAGTAACGACGTCCTACCAATGCGAGAAACAGCCTCCTGAACCCTCTAGGATTACATTTTTTCAGGCGTCTTCGCAGGTTGCGATTGGCAACAGTTCGACGTAGAAGTCCAGCAACGCATGTCATCTGAGGTGCCTTTTTCTGCCTGACCTGACATCATATCATGGAAAAAAGGAAATGTGTCTGTGATACACCCCCAACAACAAAGAGCCGACCTGTTTTAAGAGTTCATTGCCATTTGCAGTGCGGTTAGTGGCTCAATTATGTTGGATGAGCTTACGAGGGCCCTTCAAGGTGGCTTGGAAAGGGATACCATGTATGTTTTTGTTGTTTACAGTACACGCATGCAATGTATTCTGCACCTTGCAATAATATGCTGGATTTGTTGAAGTCTTGCACAACCCAAGATACATGCTTTGATATATTTTATACAGGTGACTTTTGGACCTTTGATATAAACCTTCAAAAGCCGACGCTAGGAATAAACACGACATTGTGATACCAGGAGCTAACTCTTAATGCAGAAGCAGCTTCGCGAAGGCAAACACCATGGTAAAGGAGAGGCTTTTGTAAAGTCGAACATAGTTATGAGTTATGACATGACACATCTTGCCCAAAGGACACGCTTTTGTCAATGACATGACATAGTTATGACACATCTGTTGTCAACGTGTAAACACATCTTGCCCAAGAATCACATTGGACTCTTGAGGACACGTCCTTTCAGGAAGTTGAGAAGGGATCACATCATCATAAACAATGGGTTTTGTGTAAGAAGGCCCTTTCAACAGTGAAAGACTTTATTTTAGAGGGTGCGTGGGCCTCTTTGTCTGTGGGAACCTCCATCTAGCTTGGAACTATATATAAAACCTCAGGAACATCTTTCAATAAGGACAAATTGAACCCAACATGTAACATGTGTTTCTTTTCTCAGCAAACACTCTTGAACACTACACTTGGAGAGCACATGTTCTCTAGACGGTTGCCTTTTTATTGGAACATATAATATATATATATATTGTATATATATATATGTGTTTACATATACATGTGAATTGCATCGGAACCAGACCTTCGAGTGAACCAGCAGTGGACAATCAATCGAGGGCTTGCCACAATGGTGGCTCAAGGACGACTCGAGAGGACCTCGAATAGGTAGGTGGAAAAGACCGCGCGGCCGCGATAGGTAGGTTCCCGTTTTGTGGTAGGTGGTAGAGAGGATTAGGAGATCCTAGGCGCTACCAGTGTGATCTCCCTAACAGGAATCACATATACATGTATATGATATATGGTGACAATACATGACCATGCAAATGTTGTATATAAGGTACCCCCCAGGACCCCTTAAAAACATAATTAGATAAGAATTTAATGTAAAGCAAGCGGTACCATATATATATATAGATATACTGTATATGTATTCCTGCAACGAAGAACTAAGATGCCTGCCAGGAGTTCTGCAGAGCCTGGGTTCTTGGTTCCAGGAATGTACCTTTTAGTACCTTGTTACTCCGGAGCTGTATACCTCCCTAGACAAGGAACGAAAATTTCCCGTCAGAGTTCCTCGGACTTTAGGTTCTATGTTCTTGCTTCCCGGTTTGTACTAGTACATCTTAGTACACGCGTATTTCAAAATCTAATCCTCAAATATGTCAAGCGTTAATTGATCTCGTTCACGAGCAGAATTTCTTGCCACCTCAAGCGAAAACACCTAGCCCAAAAGTTCCTAATTAGCATGGAGTCGAGTACCTGCAACTGCAGAAATGCATCCTACGCGTACCTTGTGTGAGGTCTCAAACTCTCTAAGTTGGGCTTTGGCATAATTGAACTTGCTCGATTTTGGTATGATATTGAACAGCTTATATAATATTTGCACATAGACATTTGCTAATCACACATTGCTTTTCTTGAAGCTATTGTGACACCCAATATGGTAAAGTCTGTGGCTGCAAATCCACTAATCTTAGCTAAAGCTAGCCTAATACCAGTCCTAAGGATACTGCACAGGTGAAGTGCAAAATGAAGTAGTTGCTCCTGGGATATCAGATTGTCTGAATCAAATGAACCATATAATGGGTTGTTCCTCGATGTTTGGAGGTGTGCTGGATGCAAGGGCAAACATTACAATGCATATGAAAACTAATGGTGTAAGAGCTATTCTAGAACGTGTTGCCAACTTGGATGTGCCTAGCACAGCCAAAAACAGCACGTAACACGCAAGCTATGCACTTTGGTTAAACAGTCTGTCACACCTAGACTTTTTGATCCTA